GGCCACACAGCAGAGCCATAACCGAGCAAGGCCTGAGATGGTCACCCAGAGGTTCCCCTCTGAGAGGGAAGAAGAGCACACTGTTCCTCACTCTCCGGAGCTGGGGCATCCAGAGTTCTAATTCATTCACTCCAAAATATTTACTGAGTACCCACCACACCCCAGGCACACTGTGGTGGGGAGGGGTCAGAACAGACATGGCCTTTCTCTCATGGGGCTCACAGGCCGGGCAAAGACCCCTGGGATCGCACCAAACTTATCACAGTTGCTGCTTCACTTATGCACCCACCCACCCATCCCCAACACACACACACCCCAGGCTGGCAGAGTGAGGATGCACCTTGACAGGAGCATGCAGGGCTGACCTCAGGGAGCCCCTCCAGCCACGTAATGGGCACAGGGGCTGGGAGAGGACATCTCTGTCCATCTGTGATGCTACCAGGATTAAACCCTTGTTGGAGGCTGTGGGAACACAGAGTACTGTATTAGTAATCAGGTCCATGCAGAGGGGATGAGCAATGATGTCCTGTCCCCAAGTACAAGGGCTGACCCACAGTGGCCCTACCCAGACCCTGTATCTCTAAGGCCATGAAGGAATAGCTGTGAGCAGAAGCTGGGCTGGAGCTGCAGAAAAACTGCCCAAAGCCCCTCCCACCCATGGGACTTTGAGCCCCGGCAGGATGTTAGAGAGGTTGAGGCCAGGTGCGCAGGGCTTGGCATGCCTGACTTGTAATATCAACGGATCGAAGAGCCTCACTGTTTCGGTTTCTTGGCATCGTGGAATGCTTGAGTTCAGGTCCCCTTTTCGCATGTCCCCCTCAGTCCAGCTCTCTTGACTTCCTGGAAGCCTCCTCAAACATGCAGTAGTTCCTGGAATGCAGTAGATCCAAGCTGGAGTCCTGGTTGTTTGTGAGAGCCATGTGACCTTGGATGAGTCACTTAACCTCAGGCACATCGTGTCCCTGTGTAGGAGACGGGGCCAACAGTGCCCTTCTCACAAGGCCGTGCCAACATTAGATACTGTCACCGTGCTGGGCGCAGGGCTGGGACACAGTGGCTGCCCAGCCATTGAAATGTGCCTACTAAGTTGGGACATACCTCCTTGGGGAACAATACCATGCCTGCATAGACTGACCCTACGTGGCTCCTGGTGGACCCTTCACCTGCAACCATCACTAGGGTCTGGCCTGAGTTCAGGCTTCTCTGTTCCTTCTCCTGGGCCTCCACATTTTGGACTCCTGAACTGTTGGTCTAATTTGTCCAAAAGTATGACTTCCTAATGGTGGAATTATAGACATCAGGGCATCTCAGTAAGATGGGGATTTGAGTAAAAGGGCTTTTTAATACCCCTCCAATCATACCCTATGTGCTACCATGCTCCCCTTCAGGGTAAGACTTCCTACACGGAACCTTGGGCCTGCTTTGGAGCTCAAAGCCTGCTCTTCAACACGGGGCTTAACCAAAGTAGCTGGGACATCTGTGGCTTTAAAGATAACTCCTGAGCCCAGAGAAGGGAGGAGAGGAGGGATTGATTTTTGGGCCTTCCTGGAGACTGGGATCTGAAATCAATCTGGCAATTAACAAGCCAGGTGTGAAGTGGCTGCTGGATTCCAGGCTCTCCCATATCTCCCGGCTCACTACCTTCCTGCCTCGGCCCCCTGCTTCTTGGAGCCCTGGCGACAGCTCCGGAGGAGTCCAGCTGCTTGTACCTCTTTCAGGGCCTTGTCACCTATGCAGGGGCCACGGAGGCGGCTGGGCCAGCGGGGCTGGGGAGGGAGCAGAAGGACCCTCCCCATGCCCACAGCACAGCGTTGGGAGCAGCCTGGGCTTCTGGGCATCACCCTGGCCCAATGAAGGACAGCCTCTAAGGGCCGTTTCGAGTCCCACCCCCTCAATCTCCACGTCTAGATAGGGAGGAGGATGCAGCAGGGGCTTCCAGGGACACCGGGCTTCCTGAGGGCCAGTGCAGTGTGAGCAGATAGCCGTCCTTCATTCTCCTCCTGCTCTGCCTACTGAGCCTGGGGGACTCTAGCATTGAGATGATTTAGCTCAGCATCCCCCAACCACCTCCACTCCAGCCCTCCCCTACCTGGAGGAGGGAGTGGCTAATGGGGATTGCCTAAAGGGAAAAGGGATGGGACTTCAGGGAAGTGGGGCTGTCCCAGGATAGCCATGGCACTGTCTTAGGAAAGCTCAGGGACTCTGTTTTCCTTCTGCCCCTCTCCTGCACTGTGTGGCCTTGGATGATCCTCCTCTCCTCTCTGGGCCTCCAGGCCTGTCAATTCTTAATTAGCTCCCTCTCCTGGGCCCTGACCCTAGAGTTCAGCCACCTTCTGGCAGGGGCCAATGGCAGGAGCTATGGGGCCCTGCCCTGGGAAGAGGCAGGAAGGGCACCTTCCTCTTCTTCACGGACCCAGTAGTTCTGGTTTGAGCTAGATTATCCAATTCCTCCTTTCTTACTTCCTCCCTGCTTTCTCCTCCTCCACACTTCTCTCCCTCCACCCTCCCACCCAGTGAAGGATAGAATCCTTCTAATGCAGCTAACTATGCCCTTTGCCAGATGCATACAGGTGGTCAGACTGAATTGATCCATCCATCTATCCAGCCAACCATCAGCCACCCTCCCCTCTCTGCCTCCACCACCATCTATCCAGCTATCCATTCAGCACAACCTCTGCCCTGGGTGCCAGACTAGGGGCCGGGCAGACCAGAGAGAATCCAGCAGAGCCTCTCTCTCCAGGGAGCCACTGCCCTGGGACCAACTGGCCTGGGACAGAGTAGGGTAGGCAAGGTCCCAAGCCACCAAGGCACCAGCAGCTACTCTTCCCAAAGAGGCAAGGGTGAAGGCATCCAGTGACCCAGAGTGACTTAGGCAGCCCGTATACCCACCATGCAAGAGGCCAAGCAGAAGGACCCTCGGAGGTCATTTAGGACAAGCCCCTCTTGGCCAGGGTAAATTAGCATACCAAGTGAAAAGATAACATGAGCAGAAGTTGGGATAGGAGAAGTCTGTCAGTGCACGGTGTCTGAGGGCAGGCAGGGGACAGAATGGTGTGGAGCCTTGCCTGTGTGGGCAGGACGTGGTTGCCCCCGTTGCTGTCCCACGCCTCCCATTGCCAGCTTCTCTGTAGCTTGCCTGGCATGCAGGAATCACCCCAGTCCCCCTGATCTGCACCTTGTCCTTGCTCTCCAGGAGGCCCCTCTCTCTGGCCAGTTGGCTAGAGGTTGACAGATGCATTCACCATCTCCATTACATCTTCATTGCCCAAATTCCTTTCCCTCATTTTTTAGCTAAAAGACAGTTTTTAAAAATGAGTCCCTGATCTCAGTCCTTTCCAGCCTCGTTAATTTCGTGCCCCACCTCATTTGTTCGGGGGACCTACTTTCCCCTCGCCCGCGGCCGCCTTCCTCCCGCCAGCTATATTGGGATCTCTGCTCCGTCCTCAGTAACCTTGTGTGCCGCTTAGAGTTCTGCGGGTGTTTTTTGCTGCCAAGGAGCTCTGGACTGAAGGAACCGCAGAGGTCATCTGTTCGCATCCACCCCCCTCCTCATCCCGGAAACTGGAACCCCTTTCCTGCACCCCCTGCCCAAGGTTACCCCATTCCAACTGTATTCTTCCTTACCGTCCTCCAGACAGCCTGTGCCAGTGCAGGGCAGCTCTATTTGGGCCCAAGTTCTTCCAGAAACGTGGAATGGACCTGACAGTCCTTCATATTTCCCTAGCTCACTCTGTTTTGTACGAGTCAAGTTTCCCAGATGATCCCATCAGCTCCCAAGAGCAGAGATCACGTCATGCAGTTCTTGGGTGTCCCTTGGATCCCTTGTTCTTTGGGTACCTTGGATGTGTCTTACACATCCAAGGTATGACAAAGCGGCATCCTTTGCCCCGTTACTGCCAGCAACAGGACTCTCACACCTGTCCCTGTGGCTCCAGCGGACACTCGGGGACACTACTGACCTAGAGACTTCCTCATTGGAGCTGAAAATTGCCTCTTGACCCTCCCCAGCTCTGAAGCTAGCTCTGCCTTCAGGAGTTACCCTGGGCAAGTAGAATTCCTCTTGCTTGAACAGACAGACTTTCAGACATTTGAGAGCAATGATCATGTTCTCCCTAACTCCAAGTCTAGAACTTCTTTAGCACCCAGCCCCTAGCTCAGTGTTTGTGGCCCAGGCACCACCACTTCCTTTCCTGGAGACATACAGCAGTTGTTTATGCCCGTCCAAGGGTGAAGGCCCTGGGGCTGTCTGGGCAGAGCAGGACAGGTGTCACCTGTTAATTCAGCATGAGCTTGTCCTAGAGCTTTGGAAGCTACTATTGGCTCCTGTGCCCTCTCCTGCCTCCTGCAGGAGAGCCAGGGGCTGAGAAGCATTCCCCACTATCCATCTCAGGGCCCTCTCTCCGCCATGAACCCACAAAGGAGTCTATGGCTGCTGTCTGCACACCTCACTTTCCCCTCACTCCTCACCCCTGCAGTCCGGCCATGCCCACACATCATGGAGCTGCTCTGACCAGGGTCACCACCAGCCTCCCGATGGTCCCTTTACAGCAGCTGACGTGGCTGGCCCCCCTCTTTGGTCTGGGGAGGCACAGTCCTGTTCCAGTCCTCCTCCAACTCGCAAGCAACCCTGGTTCCCCTCATCTGCTTTGGCTCCCTCTCCACCCCTTCAGGGCAGACTCTCCACCATCTGTACCCTCAGCCCAACCTTCTCGCCCTGGGCTCGCTCTGACCCATTCCGTGGCTGCAACGGCCCTCCAGGCAGGCCAGACCCCAGTCGACGTTTCTAGCGTCCCTGAGCTAGAACTTCCACCGCTCTTTGAAATCGTGCTTCTCCTTCAAGATTGGGCCCCGACTCCCTCTTCCAGGAAGGCTTACCCCACGTCTTCTTGGAGCTGGGATGGCCCGCCCACACCGCCAGATGGCGCTATTTGGACCGGGATGAACGTGGCAGCCTGGGACGGATCACGTGGCCTGGCACCGGTGTTGGCCCAGGAGATAGGCAACCACAGACAAGGCTCTTTGGGATGTGGACTGAGGCTGTGACCAGAACTAGAGCAAGAGTCTAGAGCAAGACAGACGGACAGGTAAGCAGACCAGGAGATGGGGGCGGGGAGGGAGGCAGAGACACCCCCGAGGGAGAAGCAGCCAGAGCTGCTGGCCCCTGGCGCCACCCGGCTTTTCTCCCAGTGGGCCCCTGCATCTGTGGCCCCTTGGAGGAGCCTCTGGCCTTTGTGAGTCAAGTGTTCCGGGGGCCCAGGCAGATGAAAGCCCTTCCCCCCGCAGGCTCCTCCGCAACCTTCATGTGACACATTTCTAGTGCATCTCGTAGCCTCTCGGGAGAGATCTGGTTTCCTTCCTGGTTTCTGCACAACCTTGGGCCAGTCACCTCCACTCTCCCCACCACGTTTCCTCCTGCATTTTAAAGAAAGCTAAAGCTCAGGGTCAGGGACGTGAGGCTGGGCTTGCCCGGCCGCTTCCAGGAACCAGGTTGTGAGAGGGGAGCAGGGCCCTCTGGCACCCCTGCAGGACCCAGCGCCCGGGGCTAGGCTGGAGGAATCTACTCAGGACTCCTCGCCTACAGGCTGTGGGTGACCTGCCTCCCCACCCTGCTGTTTTCCAAAGCCTCTGAGTCCCATCTGTGCTGCAGAGCAAGGCTCTCCCACAGTTCTTCATCCTGACATGCCATGTCTCTGCTGCTCCATCACTTTCCCTGGAAAGGCAGTGCTAGGGGTGGGGAGTGGATGTATGTGTGCTTGAGGGTGTGCAGGCATGGGGGGATATGAAGGTGTTTGGGGGTGTCTGAAGGTGTGTCTGTATGGATGAGTGGGGTGTGCCTATGTGGAGGTGGGTAGGTGTACACAGATTCAGGTGTGGAAGCCATGAGGGAATTTGCACATTGCTCAGCATGTGTGTGATGAAGAGCAAGACTGGGGTCCACCCCCTGGTAATCTGAGCAAGAATTGGGCCTGTGTTCATGTTAAGAATCACCCCCTGCACCCGCTGAAGTGTCAGAGCTACAGGTCCCACCACCCGGGCCGCACAGTGAATGGCAAGAACAGGGGACTCTCTTCCACCCCCGTGAGGACACTGAGGCTCAGGGAGGGCAGTGGTGTACCCCAGGTCAGTGGTGAGGTCAGCCCAGGGCCTGAGTTTCCCGGTGGCCACTGCCCCTTCCTGGGACCATCTGCTCCCACCCTGCCCCCGCCCCACCTCTGCCGAGGGCCAGGCCGCATGGAGGGGCTGAAGTCCAGCCACAGGGAGCTTCAGGGCCCCAGCCCAGCCCTGCTGAGGACTGACCCCTGGAACAGCTCTGTTTCCCTGAAGGGGCCCAGGGTCCTCCACACTCTAGGTCTGCCCTCCAGCTGTGAAGAGCAGCCTTGAGTAGGGGGAGGCTCCTGCCTCACCCCACACCAGTCTCCACCCTCTCCACCTCTGCCATGCAGGGAGCAGGGAAGCTGGGGCAGGAAGAAGCAGGTGAGGCTGGGCTGGGGGCAGCTTGACAGCAGCTGTCAAGCAGGTTACACCAGGGAAACCAGTGGAAGGTAGGTCCCTCCTTCCTCTGCCCAGCTGCCAGAGAAAGAGGAAGGGAAAGAGACTTTCCTAGTTTTAGCACTGAGTTCCACATCCCTGGAAACTCCTTAGTCTTGAGCAAACTAAGTTGGTCACCTCACTCTAGCTTCCTGGCAGACCCTTCCAGTGGCTTCCATGTATCCCAGGGCCAGCCTAGAATCAAAGAGGATGAGAAAGAGTCTTAGAGGCCATCCAGCTTAATTGCCTCACCCCAACTCATTCTCACAGCCTCTGCTTGAATGCCCCCAGCTCTAGGGAGCTCACCACCACACCAGGCAGCTTGTTAGTTATGGAGCATCTCTGACGTGCTGGATTAAACAGAGGGGCACTGGCTGGAGAAGACATGCCCCAGATGCTCCCTGGGAGAGGGCATGAGCACAGCCTTAAGTGTCTGAAGGGTGGTGACCTAAAAGAAGTGGCAGGCATGTATGTTCCCAGTGCTTTAGAGGATGGGGTCGAGGCAGGGGAAGGGCACAGGGAGAAATAGCCTCAGAAATGCCTCTGCCAGCCTGCTATCCAAAGAACTTTCTAACACCCTGCCCGGCTTCACCTGCTAGCCTGTCACATTCCCACCTGAGCCCTAGACAGAGGCAGCCTTCTGCCTCTTGCCCTGCATTCCTGGTCTCATCTGGGCCGCCATAAACCTGTCTTGTACAAGTCGATGGAAGGCCTGGCTGTTGGCCACAAAAGCCTTCTTGGGTCTCCTCTCTGGTCGTGTGTGGCTCCTGGAGAAAGCAGGAGGGGGTAAAATGCTGGCATTCGGCTGCTCCGTAAATCTATCGAAGATTTTTTTTATCACTTCCCGACATTCCTCTGTAAAAGCCACTCAGCTGCGTTTACAAATTATAGAATTCATTTGATGTCAGGGACCTGGCTAATGGCCTGAGTAAATCCAGCAGGAACAGATGGGAGTTTACATCTCAGCTCCTGTCTGGAGGTGCAACCTTAGCGACCAAGTCCCCATGTTTTAGCCTCTGCCTCTCTGTCTATAAAACGGGGATGAGTGGGGCTTTGAGGATTAGTGAAGTCACAGACCCACATGCCCGGCTGAAGACATGGCACAGAGTAAGCCCTTAATAAATGATGGTGGCGATAACATGTATTGGAGCCTGTTTGGAGCCAACAGTTGGGAAAGGACAGGTACTGAACCTCAGGTCTGGGGTTCCCAGCCTCCAACCTGTACCTCTTTGCCAGGCAGGCCCTCCTGTGTCTCAGGGCACCCTCTGGAAGCAGCAGGTCTTATGCATATAGAGGGATTATCATCTTCCTCCTTCTCCCCTCCCCCCTTCTTCCTCCTGTTCTCACACATCGAGTGTTAAATCCACCCTCCCCTATGTAGGGTCCTTGAGCCTTCCCATACCAGGACTGTTCCAGCCCTTAGAAGTTCAGACTCTGTGTGAACTGATTGGTTGAGGTTCCCTGGATCCTCGGTTAAGAGGGATTCTGAGGTTGATTCCAGTTGATTAGTGGTGCCTGCCTGCCCCTTGGAGAGTGTGGGGTAGTCCCAAGAATAGCCTCATGCTTTGCCATCCTTTCAAGTTCCAACCCCCTCATCTTGTAGATAAAGTTTATATTCAAGGAGGGGGAGACTTAGGACTGAGAAGTCAAGAAAAGAGGGCCTAATATGTCTTGAGCACCCAACGTGTGTTACACACACATCCACACACTACCTCACTGGACCCTCCGAACAACCCAAACCGTTTGACCAAAGCCGTGAGGTTAGAGCAGTCACCAAGCAAGCTCGTGGCATCACGGTTTCCAGGAGCCATCACGCCGGACACCAGGGTCTCAAACAGACCACCAAGACCCTTGGAGCAGAGAGGGCTGGGGGTGCAGGGTGCAGATGGAATGGTGCCACAGGAAGCTGCAGGGACTCACAGGGAGGGAATGAATCATCTCGGGCTAGAAGCTTCCCTGGCAGGAGTCTTTTCTTTGTCATTTGAGAGGTAAAACAGAGGAAATTATTGATAGTACTGGAAATGCCTATTGTTCTCTGATTTAAGCAATGCCAGAAATTTTCCTAAGATCTTTCACATTGTGACATGGTTTGAGCTGCCGGATGGCCCTGGAAAAGCAGACAGGTGGCTCACTCCCATTTCATAAAGGTAGAAAGAGAGGTTCAGGGAGGTGGTTTGACCCCACATCCCTAGCTCCTGGCACATGGTGCCATCTGCCTCCTCCCTCTGGCTGGAAAAGCCCACCTGCCCATGAGCTGCCAGGGACATTTTCCCATACTTCTTAGCTTAGATTCTGCAGCAAGGGGGTGACTGTCTTGCCCCCTTTCCACTCTTCTCCTCCTCATCACTTTTCATCCTGACCTACTCTGTGCCGGCATTGTACCAACAGGGTTACACACACAGCATCTCACTTAATCCCAAAAGAGTCACATAAAAGGGTGGGGGCGGGGGGAGGTGCCCTCATTAGCCCCATTATACAGATGAGGAAACTGAGGCCCAGAATACTTGAGACTTCAACACCAAGATTGTGACTGCAAAGTTTTCTCTTTCAGGTACAAACCTCTGCTGCCTTTGGCTTTACTGCCCCCACCCAATATCAAGTGAAGGAAGCTTTGGCCAAACCTTGGCACAGAAGCACCCACAGGGCAGAGAAAGTCCTCACTCAGTTTCCTCAGCTGAAAATGGGGGTGATGATAAAAGCATCTCCCTCCTTTGGTCACTGAACATAATGAGATCAGGGATATGAAACCAAGCCTGATGCAAATAAGGAGCTTTATTATTTTATCAGCCTTGCTGCCGCTGCTTCTGCTGTGTTGATATAACAAGACAAACAGGTCTTGAGAACCTCAAGCGTGCTGTATCCAAGGCAAGCACCGAGGTGGGCTGGGCTGCCGCTGAGAGAATATGGGAGAATTAGGGCTCAGCAGAGGCAGAAAGATAAAGGACTGTTGAGGTTTTCCATTTTTAGCCACGATTTTGTAGGAGTGAAGCACACAAGTGTGGCTCCAAGCCAGGACCAGACCAGGGATGGATTCCAAGCATCCCTGGGCAGCCCAAAGTGGCCCTGCCTTCCAGCAGTGACCAGCCCAGCCCCCATCAGGACCCCATCTCCCTGCACTGTCATCCTTGGTTTGTGAACCCAGCCAATCCTCAAGCTTCTATCAAACTCCTTTGAGGCGCTTCCTTCTGAGCAGGCGTGGTGCCAGGGAAGGCCCGCAAAAGACCAGGTCCAATCCTAGCTGGTCTGAGTTTCAGCCAGCTCCCTCACTTCCCATCAAGGACCCAGCATACAGTGGACCTACTGTAAAGACTCTTATGAACATGTGCATGCATGAATGAATGGGTGAATGAATGAATGAAGCACCCTAGCCTTTCTGTTCCTTTAACTGTAAAATGGGACAGTAACAATTACACTGCAAGGCTGTTGCAAGGTCCAGAAACACTACACATATAACACTTCCCACAGGGGGCTTGCTGAGTGCCCAATAAGCAGGAACTATCATTATAAGGAGAGACCTTTGCCTTTCCAGCAATCACGAGCTAATTGCCTCTCCGTGATCAGCCTTCACCCTCAACTTTCGGATGAACCACAGGTCAGCCCCCAGCCCCTGAAACTCAATCACTGTCTGATAAAATGCTGGGCCTTCATGCACATACACACACACACACACACACACACACACACACATACACACACACGGTTGGGAGCAGATGTTACAGAAAACCAAGATGGCCTGGATTTGACTGCATACATTTCTGCATACATTCCTGAGTTTTGTTTCAAAAAATGAAGTCATCATGTATGACACAAATCAATATAAATATAAATGTCTACCAGCCTGGCCAGCCTGCAATGTGGAGGAGGTCACAGTAGTGTCCGCCCCCAGATCGTGCCAGCTCATTGTCTTCATCTACAGTTCCCACTCCAACCCAGGAAAGGCTGAGGAGGCTGGGAAGAGAAGGGAGCTTTCCCACGTGCCCGAGCCCCTGCCACACCTGTGGCCCCAGGAGAAGAGAGCCAGGCTGACAGATCTGACCCATTGTGGGGCCAGCCTGGCTGGTTGTCAGCATCACAAAGACCCTCAGTGTTCTGGGCAGAAGTGGACCAAGAATGCTTCTGTTCTGGGCCATGTTGCAACACCAGGGACCTGAAGCAGCCCCTCTTGGGAACTCCACATCTCCAAATCCCTCCCGTCAACTCGTCTTCTCCTTTGGCAGACTTCTGCCAGGCAGAGGGGACCAGCCATGAGCCAACAGCTACAGTCCCGCCCTGTGGGGCCGACAGCCCCCAAAGGGAGCCTGTCCCACCAACTCACTGCACAAATCAACTCCAGGGCTGCTCAGGACTCGGGCCTTGTGCGGTGTGAGGGGGGCTGAACAGGGACCTGACTTCATCTGGGCAGTGTGGCATGAGATGGGTGGATGATCCCAGGTGATGTGGGTGTGAAGATGTGTGGGAACAGCCCATGCAAAAGCCTGAAAGTGGAAGAGAAAATGAAAGTAAAGTCATGTGCTGGGGGCTGGGCCGCATCTCACCCCAGGCTCCCAGCTCCCAGGTCCCCTTGCCCCATCTCGGTCCACCATATCCGCACATGAAATTTCTTCTTCACATACACACTTTTGCAGACCAACTCATGCCAATGGTACCTGCGACTGCTCCCAGCCCCAGCAAGTGCAGGGCAATTCCAAGTCCCAGTGTAGACCCACCTGGAAGCTCTACGTGAGACTTCCTGGGCTTTCATCTGCCCCAATGCACACAGCCACCGCAGGCTGGAGGAGCCTGCTATCCCTGCCAGCACTTGTGACTCCAACCAACATTGCACAAAGTAACATCTCCAAAGCTGTGACACTTGTGGTATGACTAACAACTCACTACACCTGACAATGGCCAAGGGCTAGAGTGGGAAGCGTCTGTCAAAAGCTGAGTCTCAGCACCTCATAGTTCACCCTCAAAGGAGATGAAACAGGCACTAGGGGCCTAAGGGTTAGAGCATGAGGGCCAGAGCAGGTTATGCTCCAGACCCAAGTTCTTTGTAGCCTACCCGAGTCCTCATGACCACCTCCTCCAGGAAGTCCACCCTCCTCTCTCCATGCCCCCGACTGCCTTGCTCCCGTTAGAGGCTGAACCAGGGACTTAATTCGTCCTCAAGGGCCTGGGGACCTGGATTGAGACCACCCTGCCCCTGAAGAAGCTGGCCCAGGGGAGAGTCACTGTGAGCAGTTCAAGACGAGTTGAAGGTCACTACCTCCAGTAAGAAGTCCTGTCTCTCACTGGAAAAGAAAGCCTTGCTTCTCCAGTTTCAAAGACAGAGACAGAGAAAGATGGGGTAAAGGGGACCGGGAGGCAAAGAGTCGAAGAGAGGGAGAGAGAAATAAATGTGGTGTCATCACTCACTGCTTGTCTGTATCCCTAAAAGGCATCTCATCTGTCTTGCCCGGCTGAGCACCCAGAACAGACGGTGACCCAGAGCAGGACCAGTGGATGTTTGTTAAGTGAAGGAAGGAGAAGAGTCATCAAGCAAAGAAGGAAGAGTAAGAGGAAAAGGTGAGCTGCAGGTCGAGAGAGGAGCTAAGTCCGTCTCTCGGTCTCTTACTTTCCTTTGTATTTTGCTGGTGAGGGTAGAGGGTGATGAGTGACAGGCCTGGCCTTTCCCAGGACATCAGCGGAGACCCAGTGCTAAATTCCTTTCTCTCCCGCTTCCCACCCACCCAGGCTACCCCAGCACCCACAGCTCCAGCCAGACCTCTGTCCAGCCAGGGGGCCGCACCCCCTTGCCCCTCCCCCAGCCAGGGTAGCAGAGGGTCCCTGAGGGACCGGGAAGGCCAGGGCAGCGTGTGGCCCAGTCCTCTGGGTGGCTCCACACCGCCATGTGCAGAAAAAAGGAAGCAACCACGTGTGCATGTATGACTTATGGTTTTAATCTTCCTGATAGAAGGCCTTTAAAGATTATTTCAGGGATGAAAAAAATAATCCTGGGTAATGAATCACGGCCTTAAGAAGCTGATAAGCAGCAGGGAAGCTGGCGGGGCCCGAGTTCCTGATTTAATTAAAGTCTTACAGATATTCCCTGAAACAAAATCCACTGTAGCCATCAAGGTGATAAAAAGACTGCAGGTTCCTTTAAACTAACTCACCTGCCTCGTGAATCTTCTTCCCTTTGAAGAGGGTGGCTGAGGGCAGGTCTTCAGGCCCCAGGATGCCCAGTTGGTCCGGCCTAGGGCCTGCTGGGGACCCCTGCAGGGACAGAAGGTGCCTCACAGTGCCTGAGATCTAGAGCAGATCAGAGCCTGGAGGACACAGGGCAATACACTCAGATGAGGAGCAGGACATTGTGTGGCCTTGAGTCACTCACTACACCTCTCTGGGACTCAGTTTTCACATCTATCATCACAGGAGTGGGATCGTGGGAGCAGGAGATGAGGTCAGCTGGTCTCCAGGAGGCATCCTTGAGCTGGCCTTCTGAGTCCTGAGCCCCCTGTACCCCAGGGAGGCAAGGAAAGGCAGGTGCTGTCTCCACATGAAGGCCCACCCTCTGGAGCTGCCCACAGAGTGGCCCTCCCTCAACCCTTGCTTCCCCTTTCCCTTCCCTGCTCTTCCTAGTCCCGCTCACGTGCATGACTGCCTGTAAAGGTACAATTGTCAACACTCTGAGCCGCCCCGGCCCTCTGAACGTCCCAGTCCAGTGACGGGAAAAGTGGAGCGTGTATGTCCAGCCAGAATGGTGAGCACGACTCTCAGAGCAGGCAGAAGTCATGTATTCCATGTGGTTCCACCACCAGGCTCTGCCAGGCTCCAGCGAGACCAGATAGGCTGGAACTAGAAATAGAGCCCATGAGAATGTGAGGACAGTGGCCCTTGGTCTCTATGCTCCTGGAGCCTAGCCAGTCCTCACGGAGTGACTCAGACAGGTGGGTGGATGGATGGATGGATGGATGGGGGGATGGATTGTTGTTCAGTCGCTCAGTCATGTCTGACTCTGCGACCCCATGGACCGCAGAACACTAGGCTTCCCTGTCCTTCACTATCTCCCAGAGTTTGCTCAAGCTCAGGTCCACTGAGTCGATGATGCCATCCAACCATCTCATCCTCTGTCATCCCCTTCTGTTCCTGCCTTCAATCTTCCCCATCATCAGGGTCTCTTCCGATGAGTCAGCTCTTTGCATCAGGTCGCCACAGTATTGGAATTTCAGCTTCAGCGTCAGTCACTCCAATGAATATTTAGGGTTGGTTTCCTTTAGGATTGACTGGCTTGATCTCCTTGCAGTCCAAGAGACTCTCAAGAGTCTTCTCCAGCAACACAGTTCAAAAGCATCAATTCTTTGGCTTTCTTTATGGTCCAACTTTCACAATCGTATGTGACTACTGGGAAAAACTATAGCTTTGAGTAGACAGACTTTGTTGGCAAAGTGATGTCTCTGCTTTTTAATATGCTGTCTAGGTTTGTCATAGCTGTTCATCCAAGGAGCAAGCATCTTTTAATTTTGTGACTGCAGTAACCATCCACTGTAATTTTAGAGCCCAAGAAAATAAAATCTGCCACTGTTTCCACTTTTTCCCGTGAATGAATAGATGGATAGACGAATAGGCATCCAGGGGAAGTGACTGAACTGAAGCTGGTCTACCCACCCTGTGCCAGCTCCCTTTCTGACAGCCCTCAGCCCCAGCAACCTGAGCCCACGCCCTGTGCTCAGAGCAGATATGTGAGCAACTGGCCTTGTCCCTCATGATGGCCAATGCTTCAGAGTCAGAGTTGCCAGATAAATTTGAATTTCAGATTAATGATGAATAATATTTAGTATAATTATATCCCAAATATTGTATTTATTTGCTACATCTGGCAACCCTACACAAATTGTCCCCTGGCACAGGCCTGACCCAGAGAGAGGCCCCCGTATCAGGCATGTGGACCGGGAGTTTCTCATTCACGGCCTCCCCTCTGTGCCCCAAGGCCCCCAAGGCCTCTGTCTGGACTGGAGCTGGTGGGTGGGTAAGGAGAGAACATTCCACCTACAAAGTGCAGACTGGATCAGGCATCTCTGAGACTGATCGTCTCAGGGGAAAAGTCCTGGCCCGCGCTTGGGGCTGCAGGTGGGGCTCCTGGGGGCTGGCTGCCACCTAGTGGCCAGTGTCAGAATTGCAGGCCACGGTGCCCAGAGACGATGAGGCAGATCACTGACCACATAATATCCTTACACTAGTTTAGTTTCAGGATTCCTACCCACCTGACAGAAAAGGAAACTGAAGCCCAAGGTTACCCCAATACCTAAATCCATGTTCAGATCCCAGAATGGACATAACCTAGTCCTCACCTCCAGGCCCCCTTCTCTCATATTCATAGCCACTAAGTAGCCCCCAAGGCCTGCCCTTCGTGTCCATCTCCGGCTTGTCAACCTTCGATGGTTCCCCACGGAATAAAGCAGCCCTTCTCTATGCTGACTCTCAGGGTAGCCCAAACCTCATTTCCTGGGCTTTTTTCTCTGCCTTTCCAAACCCTCCTCTGCTCTGCTCCCTCCCAGCCTTCCTCTCCCTCTTGCCCACCAAGCCCCTAGAGCTCAGAAGTCATTGTGCCCCCTTCCCTTCAAAGGGAAGACTGTGCTTTCTGGAGGAATAGAGGAAAGGAGAGGTGAAAGGAAAGAAGACTTGGGGAGAGGGGAGCACGGGCAGGAAGAAGGAGCAGGCCCAGAGGCGGAGGTGCCTGCTGCCAAGAGTGGAGAGTCAGGCAAGAAAAAGAAGTTGCTGGCCTTCAGGCCTTTGGAGGTGGTCAGCGTTTTATACAGAGGGCCACCAGGAGCCCGTCTTCTGGAGGAACTGGAGGTAAAGATGGCCAGGCCCATCCTTCAGGACCTTGAACCCCTTCATAGAGGATTCCCCATCCATTCCTAACTCTGGCCAAACAGGCGCAATGATGGGTGAATGAGAACAGAAACACTAGGTGAGGTTGGTGATTTCAGAGCAAAATTCCCACCATAAACACAAGGCTCAGAGAGCCTGCCTGTCCACAGACCCCAGGTGCCACCCTGCCCTGCACAATTGTAAGTGTGGAGACCCCTGGCCAGCCCCAGCCAGCCCAGACAACGTGGGAAAAGGGCCTTGCTGTGAGCTTGATAGCAGTGCTGGCTTTACCAGAGGCAACGGATGGATGGAAGGACCTCAGCCAGGAATGGGCCTGTCTCTCACATGGCCTGGAGTGTTTCGAGGCCCACCCATCCTGGGAAGTGACCTGGGGTTGCCAAAAGGGCACCCAGTGAGTGAGGGAGCAGTTTTCAAGGAATTGAAAAGGAAGAAAGGCATTGTGAGGAATCAGGGACAGCTTCCTGGAGGAGGGGATGGGGAGAGTCTTGCACATAGAGGGAGCAGCAGAAGCAAAGTTGGAATGGGTTCAGGAATTGCAAGCTGCAGGAGGACAGGGGAGGCATCTGTGTGCTGTGCACAGCACCCACCCTTCAGAGGGACTCTGGAACTAGGTATTAAAGGAGGGTCAGAATGCGTGGGCTTGATTGGAGGGAGGGAGGAAGGACAGATGTGCCAGTGGGGAAGATGACTGAGGGGTGTCCCTAACTCGGGGTGTGGGCAGCACTTTGAGGTCAGCACTGGCCTTCTCAGTGGTACTGGGGGCACTGATGCTATTGTCACTGTATCTGTCAGGCATGATATAGTTGCATCCATAGGGCACACATGCTGGAGGAAACTCTCCCAGCAGGCCCAGCAGACCCCCCAGAAAGAAGTCCTTCAGTCTGGGGCAGAAGGGAGGTCACTGGAGGGCTGGGAGTGGTGCTGGATACAGTAGCTCTCACCTCAGTGCCTTGGGGAAGCAGTGGAAGATGGACCCAGGGCTAGAGGGCAGTCACATGGACAGGGGTTCTGAGAGGTGCCACAGAGTCTGGGTTGGTGATCCTCCATCCCTGAAAACCATGGGCGGCCAGGGATGCGTTGGCTGGCATAGAGCTGTGCATGAATGCCCCTTGAAGGAGGGGTTCCCGGTGAGGCTGGGAATGGAGTCAAGTCTATTTATTTATTTACTGGTTGCACTAGGTCTTCATTGCTTTGCATGGGCTTTCTCTAGTTGCGGCAAGATGGAGTTACTCTTCATTGTGGTACACAGGCTTCTCATTGTGGTGGCTTCCCTTGTGTGGAGCACAGGCTCTAGGCACACGGGTTTCAGTAGTTACAACACACGGGCTCAGTTGCCCCGCGACATGTGGGATCCTCCCAGACCAGGGATCTGCGCCCTGCACTGACAGGCAGATTCCTAGCCACTGCACCACCAGGGAAATCCCCAGAGTCATCTTAAATGAGGTCCCCGCCTTCCTTCTGCAGGAAGAGTCAGAACGGGCAGGGAGCACTTCTCTTATCTGGCTTCCTCCCCAGAACCCACAGTGGCCCCATTGTCCCTCACCCGGCTAGCCCAGTCTTGCCTGCCCTACACAGGAGCTGGTCGTGCCTCCCCTTCGCCCACAGGTCCAGGAGGAGAGGCTGGCTCTGGGCCTCCTGAGCCCCTTTGAGGTGCTCGCTCCCAACAGAGCTCCAAGTTCATTGCTAACCTCTGGTTGTTCTCATTTATAGGAAGGAAAACTGCGGGCCCCTTTCTCACCCCTGAAAAAATAAGAGGGCATCGGGACCAGAGCTCCGAACCTTACCCTTGTCTCCAGGAGAGGAGCAGGGACCCCCCCCAGGTCCTGAAGAGTAATCTGGAACAAGCCCCCACGGTAGCCCAGAAGCTACAGCTTCTCTCGGAATACATGTGTCAGCCCAGGATAGCTTAGAACTCACTCCCAGCTTAGCCCAGACCCACCCATTAACCCAGAACACGCACATCAGCCTGGGTTAGCCCAGAAACGGATGGTTAGCCCAGAGCACTTGGGTTGGCTTGGAATCCCGCTTAGCCCAGGACAGCCCAGAATCAGGGGTCAGTTCAGGACATACAAGTTAGCCCAGGTTAGTCCACAACACACAGACTTCCTTGGCACTTACAGGGTAGATTAAAACAAATTGAATGGTCCAAAAGAATGATTTTTTTTTTAATTCTTAAACCTTTCTTCAAATCATAAAGTGGATCTGTGTGGCTGAGGGGGATGGGACCAGGCAGCGGTATGGTGGTAATGGGAAACTTGGCATCCAGGGAACCGCTCTGCCTTGAAGCATTTCCCTGTTTCCATCAATACTCCCGCCGTGGATAATTTCAGGCCACCAACCCCTAGGCACTGACTGTGGAGTTGAGAAAAGATGTCAGGATGCCAACAATCGACTCCACAAGCCAGACAAGCAGCATCAGCACCACACCTTCCCGCTCAGCACCCCCATCTTCTCTGGGAACCCCCCAGGACGCTGAGGATCTCCTTGCAGGGGCACCCAGGGCCAAGACACAGAGGACACCCTCTGTTTAGGGATTCACTAGGTGACATCAGGCCTCTGAAACCTGAGCAGAACCCAGAAAAATGCCTCCTGGCCCCTGGCAAGCACGGGGCAGGTGGGAAGTGGAGTCAGTGGGGAGATCTGACCTAGAATTTCCCACGTGACAGGGGCCGAGTCCCGTCTGCCCTCTGGGTCTCAGTCTCCCTTCTGGACAAAGAAACTGTGGCCTCTAAGAAGCCCCACCCTGATTCTGACTCTGGAAGCCAGTCAAGCTCACCTCTGCCACTTCCCACCTCGCCCCCTCCGCAGGCCTGGCACCTGGCCCTTGGCAGCCACTGAGTCACTCTTCCCCAACTCCGAGCGCACCTGTCCTCAGCCAGCTCCATCCCAGGGAGAGTCTCCTTTGTCAGAGCTGAGTCCTGACCGAGTGCCCACATAGCAGCCCTGGACCGTGCCCCGTCAACGGTGATGCTCCAAAGTGGCAGGAGGGGATCCTCACAAGCACCCAAAGGGTTGGAAGGGCCCACCATATGTTTTTATATTTTAATTCCTTTAATCAAAATTATGAAATGTTTTCAACATTCAGAAAAGGATATTTAGCCACCACCTGGATGTAACCAGTGTCAGCATCCAGCCAGGTTGCCCCTGTAGGGACCTGTCTCTGCTCACTGTCCCCTCCCAGGGCCCTCCCTTCTCATACTGACTGTGGTTGGGGGAGGGTGGTGCCTGACATCTCCTCTCCCAGGCAGAGGCTCCCTGGGGGCAGGAGCAGCTTCTCTATGCCTCTGCATTGTGCTCCTGTCACAGGCTCATCTGACATCTCATCTACCCTATAACCACCCTGTGAGACATAAGTGATGAAAGATTTATTCATTCTCCCCATTTCACAGAAGAGGAAGCTGAAGCATAGAAGATAAGAGATTTACCTGACAGCACACAGCATGTTGGCACCAGGTCAGCACTAGACCCAAGTCTGTCCCTGAAACAAATATTCTCTTCCCCATCAGTCCCTTGGCACCCCCTCCTATTCCCCTCCCCTCAGGGCCTCCGGGAGGGGCCATTCATAACCATAATGTATCTGTAAGTGTAAACTAGGACCTTTGCAGGCAAACTGGGCTCTGCCTCCATCCTATCACTGAAAACCAACCACAAGAGTTGACTGAGAACCAGCCCTGTGCGAGGTGTGGGGCCACTGTGACTCAGGAGACATCATCCTGCCCCAGAGGCGCACGAAGAAGCCAGGTGCCCCTGGCCTGCTTTATTGCATCCAATGGGCTGTGAGCTCTGACGCATATGAAACACGGGGGCTGACTATGGAGCAGGAAGATCCAGCTTCCCAGAGGTGGTGGAGTTAGCTTTAGCTCTTGAAAGAGCAAGCCCCAGTAAGGCAGAGAAGAGGGGGAGATTCCACCTGGCAGAAGGCACCCCATATTCAAAGGCTCAGTGGTGACAAAGTGAGGGGTTCTGAGAGGACGGGAAAGTGAGTGACAAAGATAGAAAAGCACATTTCCTGTGCATGTATCCAACAGATTAATCAAATCCACTATATATTTTTAAAGGAACAAGAAAAAAAATCTAGATCAAGAAAAAACAGATAAACCAATCTAGAAAACACTAGCAAAAGACTCACACCATGTACAAAAGATGATCTCTGGCTGCACAACAAGCATATGAAAAGTTTTTAACTTCGTCAATCATTAGGGAAATGCAAATCAAAGGCACAATGAGATACCATTATTCTCCCACCAAAATGTCTAAAATTAAAAAGGAATGATAACTCCCAAGGTTGACAAGAATGTGGAGCTACCAGAAGGCTCATATGTTACTGGTGGGAGTGTTAATTGGTTCAACCACTTGGGAAATTGTTTGGCAGTATTTACTGAGACTAAACACATGCCTGTGTAATGATCTAACTTCCACTCACAGGTATTTACCCAAGAGAATGAAAGCCACCAAGTGACCATCAGGAATGTGCACGAAAATGGTCATCACAGCTAAAAACTGAAAACTACTCTAACATCCAACTACTGAAGAGAGGAGAATTATTGATGGCATCTTCCTTCAATGAAATACTACACAGCAATGAAAAAGAAGAAATTCCCAATACAGGCAACTGGGATGCATGGATCTCACAAACAATGCTGAAAGAAAGGGAGAGAGAATGAGTATATACTATGTGGTCCCACTTAAATAAAGCTCAAGGGTAGGTGAAATTAACTTTGGGGATTAAAGTCTGGATACTGGTTACCTCTGGGGAGATTATTGATTGGAAAGGGGCACAGGTGAACCTGCTGGGCTATTGGAATTGTTCTGTATCTCAATCAATAAGACATTTACATGGTGCATACATATGCAGAAAACCACCCAGCTGCACAAAGCTGGATGGTGTCACTGAGGCAATGGATGTGAACTTGGGCAAACTCCAGGAGATGGCGAGGGACAGGGAGGCCTGGTGTACTGCAGTCCATGGGGTTGCAAAGAGTCAGACACGACTGGGCAACTGAACAAGAACACACATTTGAGATTTGAGCACTTTATACTATCTTTATACTGAGAAGTACTCCAGTAAAATGCTCTCTTTTAATCCTTCTAGATGCAGATGGAGAATGGAGTGGAGAGTGCAGAGGAGAACCAGGACAACCATTTGGGAGGCTTTTGTAACACCCTGGGTGAGAGAGGATGAGCAAACCAACAGGAAACAGGTGCCAGGTGTAGGCTCATCCTGCATGCTGCAAGAGGTCAGAGGAACTCAGTGGTGTGGGCAGGTGGGGGAGGCTTTTAGGAGGAGAAAGAGGCCAAGTAGGCAGAGGCATAGACTTCTTGGGGCCCGGAAGCATTTCAGCACAGCAAGGCATCATGTAGAACAGGCAGCCCTGCTCTCCCATCCCAACACTCTGAGCAGCCCGAGGGGGTGAGCTCCCCACCCCTGGCAGGGTTCAACAAGAAGAGCCAGCCCCGTTTGTTGAGCCCTCTGATGTCCACAGAAGGCCCTGTGCTGAGGGCTCTTCAGGAGCTCTTACTTCAAAGCTATGAAGAAAGCCTTATTCTTCCTATTTTGCAGATGTGCGCTAAGTCTGGGTGTGCTGAGTGGTGGCTCCAGGACCCCAATCTGTTAGCCCTTCCTGTTAATGCACCAGAGGCAGATAACAGCTTTCCAGGGACAACACGGCAGGGATACGGCATGGTGGATCCAGCTGGGCAGAAGAGATCTGGGAGGACAGGGCTTAGGAATCTGTACCTTCTCAGGGCTGCCCAGGATCCCTGGGCACGTCCTGGTTGGGGAATGGGCAGGTTGGATGACCATAGCAGTAACTCTAAACCTAGGTGTGGAGCAGAAGGAGCCTTGGAAAGTGCCAGGCACTGTCCTCAGCCCTCGTCCCTGCAACAGCCCTTCAAGGTGAGAACTGTTCTCCCTATTTTAGAGATGAGGAGATGGAAACTCAAGGCCATCAGTCAGGGAATGGCAGAGCTCCCAGACCCGCAGTCCCCAAGCCTGGCCTCTCACACTTGACTCTACACCTCCCCCCGGGTCCTGGGAATTGGGGCATTTGGCCTTGCCCAGTGGACAAGGCAGAGATGACCAATTCTAAGACACTCAGAGAATGAGCGAGGGAGGAGAGAGGAAGATGCAGAGACACAGAGAAGTTGAGAAAGCTATATAGAGAGGCTGAGCAGGCGGGGTGGCAGATGGTGCCAGGGTGGGAGACGGAGCAGATGTTTGTCAGCAGCTGTGAACTCATGAGACAGACACTGCTGACACAGGCTTGTGCACCTGCTCGCTGCCCACCTTGCTCCAGGTGGCTAGGGCTATAAATGGGGTGAGGGTCAGCAGAGGGCCAGGCTGGACTGTCCCTGGGAGACCCCCACGCAGACAGTGTGACCTTGGGCCTCAGTGTTCTCATCTGGGCAATGGGCCCCAAGAACCCTGCCAGGTCCATCAGACTCTGGGCCACCAAAGCCTGTCCATGCATCCAGCCCCAGTCCTGCAAAGAAGCCTCTCTGCAGAGCCCCAGCCCCCTCACCCAGCCTCCTGGCTCCCTGTGGGAAATGTGGCCAACTTGGCACAACCAACCCAGGGCCTCCATCTTTCTCTCTAAAGTGGGACCAAAGGCTGCCTGCAGCATTTCTGTCCCCTGGGGTCCTTCCTGCTCCCCTAAGACCAACCTTTTCTTCCAGCTCTGGGGAGGAGGGGAGAGTCTTGTGACTGACTGGAAGGGCTGACGTGACAATAGGGTGGGGAGAGGAAATACATCAACATCATTGTCCCCCTCTTAAGGCTGGCTGGGCTCAAACCAAGCTCTGCCACTAAGAGCTATGTGGCCTGAGGCAGGTCACTCAACCTCTCTGAGTTGCTTGTCTCTAAGGTGGGGATGAGGTTGCCTACTTTCCAAAGCTGGAGTGAAGGTTGGCTGACCCTAGAAATGTGAGAATCCCCCAGCTTGGGGCCTAGGGCTCCATGGCATAAGAACAGCTCCCCAGGCACAAGAAGAAGGATGACTGAGGAATCAGCAGGGCCTCAGATGTCGCTGCCTTCAGCTTTTACTTACATCTAGAAAGACGGAGGCCTGAAGAGGGCAGCTGGTAGGCAGGCCGCACAGTTCCCCAGGCCAGTGCTCCCTGGCCAGGGAGAGGCAGGGAGTGTGGAGGTCATTTCCAGTCACTCCTGCCTGTTCTGCAGACGCAGCAAATGCCTGCCCCATGATGGCATCTGGAGACGCCAGGCAAGAGTGGGCACGGGGAGCATGCCACAGGCCTCCAAAACTGCAGCTCCATTTAGAGGATGAAAAGGCAGCCTTTCCAGGGCACTGGGCAAGGCATCTGCAGGAGGAGGGGCTGCTGAAGTGGGGCCAGGGCTCCCTTTGCCCGCTGTCCACTGAGGCCCCCTCTCCCTCGTAGAAACTTCGGGCTTGACTAAGCTGTCACTTGCAATGTCACTTCTGATAGAGTCCAAAAAGGACAGAAGGACAAAGGTCACAGGAAGCATAGGTCCCTGAATCAGACTGCCCTGATGTCAGCAGCCTCCCCATCTTTAATGCCCATCAGCCGCCCTACGGGTGCCCGGTCCAGCCCCTGCCCGGCTCACACCATGGAGGGGGCACCACTTACGGTCCCTGCTTAATTAAATCAATAAACCACCAATGCAAATCTGGCTGAAGGCCAGCTCTTTACAGTGCTCCATGCGGAGGGGGGGACTGAATTAACAGCTGCAGTAGGAGAACAGAGGCGGTGAGAAAGAGGGAAAGGAGGGAGAGGAGGAAGGCCAGCCTGGGAGGGAGTGTCTGGCCCACAGACCTGCTCTCTGGACCACTTCGTGACCCATATCTCAGAACCCCCAGCATCCTGTTCCCACCTTCAACCTCTCCTTTCCCCTTCCTGCCAGCATGACTTCAGGAAAGGTTCTACCATCAGCCATTTGTACCACAGTGAGAACTTGAAGATAGACTGTGGAGATGCTTGATTCTGCTTCATCTGGGAATGAGGCAGCAAGGCTCAGAGGCCGAGTGCCCCAAGCATCCCTCCTGAGCCCCAGGCCTGTACCCTGGCCTGCACGCTGCTCCCCAGGCCTAGGACTTGCTCTCCTTACCCTAACAGGATGGGGAAGATGTCAAAGTGTCTAACTTGGTAGGAAAGCAAGATATGGCCTAGTGTCACAACATCTAGAGCAGGCTGCCAGGGCAGGAGTCCTGCGGGTTCCTCTCTTTAATGTTCTGGGGCCTGGGCAGAATGGGCCCCCTGCAAAGGCCCAGATGTACAGCCTGGCTCACCCTCTTTTCTGCATTCCTTGGGGGACCAGGTTGTCAGGGAGCATGTTCAACTAGGGGAGGCTGTGTGGCCTGGGGTCAGGCCACGGCCTTTTCTGGGCCTCATTTTCTCCATCTGGATCACAAGGCGCTCAGAACTAATGGCCTGCAAGTGACTTTCTAACTCACACACTCTACATCAGCATCCGTAAGAGGAGACCTGCCTCTTCGACTAGCCTGGAGACTGGCCTGAGCTGAGACAGTCCATGTTTAGAATCAGAGTCTCTCCAGCTGCCACTGACCTGCTGGAGGGGCTGGGCCCTGGGTTCCAGCCATAAACTCGTCGCTCCTTCCGTTTTCCCATCGGTAAAATGGGGATAATGACAGGTGTGGCTCCCATATGTGGGAGGATGTTGCACTAATGAAAGCTCTCTGAGCCTCAGATGAGAAAAAGAGGAGCATCTACAAGGGCCAGGGAGGCAGCCTAGGACCCCAGTACCTGGCTGGATGCTGGGCCCTGCCCCCACTGGGCTGAGAAACACACCTCAGCAATCCGGCCACCTCTTATGCCCAGCAGAGACCTTCCCAGAACTCATTCCCTCTGGGATCTTGAGAAAACACTTTCCCACTTTGCACCCCCCCAGATCTCTCCTCTGTAAATGGCTCTGATACCCTATGAATTATTTCCCAACTCCAGGGAAAGTGCCAGCATTTTAGTCACTGCCTTTCCATCTGACTAGAGTTTTGGGGGTCTTCATGAGTGCCTAGCACTTTGAGGGACGCAGAGAAAGTGTGGGCAGTGTGGCTGCCACCAGGAGCTTGTATCACTCCTAGGCAGATAGAGGATAAAGAAATGAGAGGAGTTTAGTGTCAACATGTGCACAGATCTTAAGATAAACGGCCACATGGCCCAGATGCCTCCACAGGGAAACCAAACAGTGGGGGCTACAGTCTTCCTTCCCCTGACACTGGCAGACATCGCTAATCACATTTCTCTTTCCAGTTGAGCCTGGATGCAGCCTCCTGGGTGTTTCTGTTCTCTTGCTTCAGACAACCCCCCAGCCTGGTTACTGGCGTTAGAAAGGAAACAGGGACCACTTCCCCAGAGGTCTAAGGGTTATGGCTGGGCTGGCCACAGGAGGCTTCCTGAAGGCAGAGGTCTTCATCTAGGACTTGAAAGAAGAATCTGGATAATTGAAAGGAAAAGAGAGGCATTCCCGGTGTCAGGAGCAGTGTGAGTGGAGATCTGGAGAGGAAAATCCACTCAGCATACTCAAGGGCAGTGGGAGCATCTGTCAAAGAGGAGAGATGCCTGGGGAGCAGGGGTGCCCAAAGTCAAGCCAGTTGCACCTCTCTCCCAGGTCTGGTTAGTTGGACCCCCAGTCCCGTTGCCTTCCTCACCCACTTCCTGGTGGGGCCTGGGACAAGCAAGGTGTTGATGGCCATGCCTGTCATTCTCCTGGGTGACAAGGAAATTTGCAATCTCATTAAAATGACGTGTTACTGCCTGTTCTGAGTTGCAGGGTAGGTGCCTGAGATGCATAAACCATCCCCACAAGCCCAGTTCCAAGCGTGATTTACAGCTGAGTCCGGCCCAGTCCAGCTGCTGGTCCAGGGACAGCATAGCACCAGGAATGGGGTCTTCCATCACCACACACCAGAGACCCAGTGCAGAAGAGCCAACTCAGACACCAGCCACTGCCCAGGCTTCTAGAATCTCAGAATGCAGGGGGTGCACGGGCCAAGGACAGGTACACAATCTAACCCTTTCCCTCCCCTTGGAGCCTCTTCCTGGAAGACAACGCACCGCTCACACTTTCCTTCGGAGCCTGTCCTAGCTTTCACCTCTACCAGAGTGCCCACCAGGATTCACCCCTAAGACCCAACCAAATGCACAGAGAGGCAGGAGGAACTCTTTGTAGTTCCCACCCAAAACCAACACGCAGAGGGACTTGACCAAGCAGCCTCTGTACCCGGGCCTTGGTTTCTCTACCTGTCACTGAGGGGGCAGGTAAGAGAGTGCACAGGCCTCCAGCTCTGAGAGCTCACCCA